TCACAAACTAAGTGCTCAGCCAGACTAAAAAACAGGAAGTTTTAGTGCACAGGCATATTAATAGATAAAGACACAGAAAAGAGGAACTTTCCATATAAGCAATGTTTGAAACTGTGTGTGACGTCTGAAGTACAGAAATTACACCATATAAGACAAATGTTGAGTTAAAAATGTTAGAGATCTTGCAACTGGGGTTTGAGCTGTGCAGGGGTCTCTCTCTTCCGGAAGATAATTGAATAAAAAGAAATATAAATGTTTTAACACACTATGAGTCAGTTTTCTCTGTTCTATCACGGGGACAAAAGAATCGGGGTTAATAGAGGACAGACAATAATATAAACCAGTGAACTCAAAACACTTTAGTCAGGCTGATTAAGCTTTGTTACTTACATCTAGATACTGTTTGACTATCTGCTTCTTTACACCATCTGTCAGCGTGGCGTGAGCCATGTTGTTGGAGATAAAGTCGATGGTTTGTCGCGGGTGAAAGTGAATGTTGCCTTTTCTGTTCACTGCCTTGTCGTACACCTTGGCTGACTCTGTTGGAGAGTACTTCTGGATTTTACTGTTGGAAGACAAAACATTTTTTCCAGTTGTAGAAGTCACAAGGTCCCATTTTGGCAGATGTTCTGAGTTTGTTAAATCAATCCACAATTACTAACCTGTCAGAGAATCCATATTGGTTTTTCAGATGCTGTTTGAGCACCAGCAGAAGCAGAATGCCCTGAACTGCGTTTGCAAAGTCCAAGAGACCTGTGGGATTATCTGGGAGGAGCCTCATTACTTTCTCCACATCGTCCACATCCAAATCCTCCAGATCAGACTCGGACTCCGAGCTCTCCGAGTTTGCAACAGGTTTTTTCGTCTTTTTTGGCCGTCGTACCACATCCTCGTCAGTGTCTTCATTGTCCTCACCATTGCTGTTTTCTGCATCTTCACTCCTCCAAGAGTCGCAGTTCATCTTTTCCTCATCATCCTCTCCATCTGATGTGTTCTTCCACTCTTTCTTGACTTTTTTCTCCTTACGTCTTGGTTCCTTTAGAAGAAGCTGGACAGAAAGGACAATCTATTAATATTTTTTTTTGTTCCAGCAGTGTAATTCTCTGGATTAAAAAAAAGAAAAAAAAGAATACATCTCAGGTCTTCCCCACCTCTTTAAAGGTTTGCAACAAGTTGCTGCCAGAGACGGACAGGGTGATGTCTATATGGTGCATGATGAAGAGAGGCTCCTCCTGGCTCTGGTATGGAAAACAAGCAAGGTTGTCTGCGATAAACAGGAGCATGTTTACGTCCGTCTTCTGCAGAAAGACAAGAAATGTGGAGCTTGATCAAAAGTTAGCGCTTGGTACAAAATAACAGTGCAATATTACCCAATTTGAGTTCAAATGCTCATACATAAAAAGTTAACTGTGTATAGTGAAATCAGAAAAGATGTAATATTGTAGACTGAACTTCAGCATTTGTCGCTTAATAAAAAGGTCTTCCTTTAAGATCAGTGTTATCCAAGCTCAGCAACCAGAGGAATCTGAAAGCTTATGTTTTCATTTGTCTGGATTCCCTTTTCTTTCTTTACATTTGGCCTAATATGGTATTATTGTACACATTGTGTTGTTCTGATTTATTGTAATTCTATCTAGTTGTAACCAGCGGCATTTCTAGACTAATTTACATTTGCATAATGATGTCAGGCTAGTTCTAACCTTAAGAGTTGTCATAACACACCTGTTATTACACCTACCACAAAGCAAAGAACTCAAAGTATATTTTTACATTGCATACAGTTAATTAGGAAACACCATTTAGCACTAAAGAGTCATAACATGTGCAAAGATGAATGCTGGTTAACTCACAGCACTGTCATCAAAAAGGTTCAGCAGCGAGATGAGAAAAGCCCTCCGGTGTTGTCGGTTCCCCCGGATCATAGTGAAGAGGTGGGAGCAGAGTGCCGAGTGGGTCTCGTCCTGTCTGAATCCTCTTATGATGGATTTACGAGATGAATTAATGGCCTGCTGCAAACTGTATGACATCTTCATCCCAGCAACTGCCTTCATCTGTCATAAAATATATTGGGTGACGAGTGTTAGAAACACAGCATTTCTATAACTACTGGGACAATTATTGTACTGATAATGTTCCTTTAAAAAAAAAGTATCACGTACATTCACTTTATTTAAAAAAAAAGTGAATAAATGAATGGCTGTGGTACATTTATCATTAGATTAGACCAAAATCCTGAATGTTATGTTTTTTGATCTTCTTTACAGCAGAAGATCCAGAACATGATCTCTCAAGAGACTGGAAACTGTTCTGGCATTAAATGGTGCAGTGGGTAGAATAAATGTTGTGATCTGTACAGGGTGTACCCTGCCTTTCGCCCTGACACACCTGGATAGGCTCTAGCACCCCAAAACCCTGAACTGGACAAGTGGTTAAGAAAATGCACGGATGGATTTTTTAGTCACATAAATCTAAGGCTCATCTTGTCCATACTGTATTACTGTTATTCTGGTTGTTTTTTGCAGCTGTTTGTACTAAAGGTAAAGAGGGTTAAAAGAAGACAAAAAACCCAAAAAAGTAACAAGGTAAGACCTAAATCTGGAATGCAAAAAAATTAAAAACATCAACTCACGTGGATGAATCCTGTGTACTTCTTGTCAATCTCCACCAGCTGCTGGTCTGCTTTGTTCCTCATGCTGGGCTCTGGGTCTGTTCCCATTGCAATGAGGTAGGGTACACACTACACAGACAGGATAAAAGCAGTGAAGTTCACATGCATATGCATTTTACTTCTGTTCATGAAAAAAAGAGAAAACAGATTAAAATGAAAGTAACTAATGATTTTACAATAACTACAAACTAATGAATATTGGTTAGCTTTAAGATGCTTGCATACAAAAATTACTTTGAGGAAAAAAAGTGCTATCAATAGACCAAACACAAACAATTATTTATTGATAGTGATATAATAATGACACGTGACAAGTTCTTGCTTTCAATTACCTGTACAGGATGGATGAGACCCTGGTTGAGCGTGAGAGCTATGACGTTGAGAGCAAAGTGACGTACGCTGGATTGGGTGTGGAAGAAAGCCTCCAACACCTGCTTTAAATAAAGCTGCATAATGGAGCTGCTCATCCCCGAAGAGATGTCTCCCATCTCCTTCAGATCCTCTTGTTTGGACATTTTCTTCCCTACAAGTACAAAAAACCATAAAATATACAGATTGTCCCTTCTAGACAATGTTAATTTTTATACAGTGAAGTAATAAAATCACTTGAATTGACAAAATGTTATAACAAGCATATTATTCAATGTGGAACATAGATGATGACGTCTAAAAGCTGTTTAAAAAAAGAAATCTACTTACATTCTCTGTCTGCTTCCTGCATCCGCGTGTCTTCCTCCTGAAGGTATGTCTGGAGGTTTTTGAGGATCTGAATTTTGAGGTTAATTGAGGAGCCACTGTCAGCCAGGATGCCATTATACAAAGACTTCACCTCAGGCATAAACATCTGGCTGGGATGCATGATCACAAGGAAACCTGTGTCAAAAGAATAACAAAGATCAAATACATGTAAAAATAAGTAAATGACACATCCTTCTATATAATCTCAACCTGCTGTGGCCAGGGAATCATTTGCTCATCTCTGGTCTTTATATTATAGTCCTATAAGCTGGTAAAATGACACTGTAGGTCCTGGAGTCAGTCTAATCACATTAAAAAAACATTATGTTCTTACCTAAGCCAATGATGGCTTTGGTCTTAACCTCCTCATCTTCATGCTTGGTGAAGTATAGCAGCAGCTCAAGAACTTTCTCCTTGATAACAACCTTGACAACATGTCAACACATAATTATGAAACTGCAGACATTTTCATACATTTTTTTTAAACAGCAATCATAAAGTTGCATAATGGGCTGCTTCATCATAGCCAATCGTGGTTGTGGACAAGATCCTCAAAGAAGAAGATAACTGGACGTAAAGCTGTAATCCAAAGTTAGACTCAGTTTTCATTTGAAATGTTCATTTCTAATCAATAATTAATCATTAACTACTACCCTACCTTGGTGGTGCCCTTGAACTCTTCCAGATCAAAATCAAAGTGTCGGGCCAGGGCACCCACGGTGAAGAGGGATCGCAGCAGGAAAGGCTTGTTTGCTACCAACTTTGTGTCGTTTGGGTCCTCCTGATGCTGAACCTTCAGCCTGTTAAGTGCACCTAAGAAGGGACGAAAAAAAATTTTGAATGGAATTTTTTAAATTCCATTCAATCTCTGTCTGCTTAAAATGGAATTTTATAGTTTATAGGCCTTCTGCAATGTTTTTTGGAGAACTTGTGGCTAAACTAAATCCACTCTTCTGAAGAAAGAGTGGGATATAAATAGTTACATTTCTTTGGCTTTTGAATGGATTAAGGTGGCACTTCAGCAGAGCTATGCTATCCCTATAAAACACAAACATTATTACTCCAGGCATTAGCATCTCTCACCATAGAATCTGTTGAAGCAAGCCCACACAAACTTATAGTTGTGTGTGACTTTGTTCACAACGGCTCCGAGACAGCTCACACAGTGTTGGACCACCTGAACACAGGAAGATAAACCATCATGTTACCTCTTTAACAAAACTGATTACAGCTTATATACTTAAATTGGGCAAACTTATATAAACTTGTTAAAACACTGCTGCCACGCACCGTCATGCCGTATTTGATGATGAGCTTCATGAGGTCTTCTTCAATGGTTGCAAGGAAAGTTGCACTGGGGTGCTCCATCAGAGGAACCACAAGCTCCAAAATCTTTGCCACATTACAGATAACCATGAAGTCATTGGCAGTCTGCAGGGAAAACAAAATATGAATGTTATAAAAGTATATTAGGAAAAATCAACTCCAAGAAAGTACTCCTTCTCCCTTTCAATCGAATCATTAACTTAACAACTGAATTATCTTTACATATCAACAATATAAAGTTATAGTATAGTATACTAGTAAACATTATCACATTAATAACTCTTCAAGAACAAAAAATTTAAGTAATTTTGAAACAACTTACATTACACTTTGTCGTCAGGTAGGGTTGCATGGTCATAGCATGTTTGACCATAAGCTGGGCGCTGATCTTGCTGAACAAGTACAAGGTGGTGATACACGCCACTAGCCGTGTTGAGTTCACCCCCTTGTTCTCTATAGAGGGAAAAGGAGTTAAAAATGCATGCAAAAATACAGTACAAGTACAATGCTTAGGCAAGGATATATGTTTACATTTAAATATATAACCAATATATATCCAAACATACCTGCAAGAGACTCCTCGTATTTAAGGATGTGTTCAACCAGATTGTCGACGAGCTGAACACAAGCCTTTTCGGCTGGCTTATATGATGCGTCCTCTTCAGATTTGAGGAGCTAAAGAAAGGAGAAAAAGGTTTATAAGGTTTTAAACAATAGCAGATCTCAAAACAAATATCTATTATATAATGAAGCTCAAATGCTAACATTTTGAAGAAGCTGTTCAAACCAATCATAGCCGGTGTCTCGACAGGCTGCAACCTAAAGACATCAGAGGAAATGATTAATAATATGCAATCATCAACTACTGGTTGAGAACTGACACCCTGCTGTTTTTTTTACATTTATAATTTTAAATCATTCAACAAAGTGGTAATTCAGTTAAATGTACCACATCAGTGATGTTGAGAATCTTCCTGGTCATGGTTTCTTTGTCATGGGCTGGAGTTGGAGTAAACCACAGCTTCTGGAATGTCTCATTCACCAGTTTCTATAAATAAGAAATGCAATAATAAAAAAATGAAATAATAAATATCTACAAAGAATTCTATGAAGAATGGAAGGCAAGTCTTAACAACAATCTGTAAGCAGATCCATACCTTAATTCCTTCCTCGTCATTGACCCTGCGGATCATCTTCACGCACATCTCAGTAATCTTACTGAAGGTCGGTTGCTCCAGACAAATATCTCTGAGGATTTTGATCACCCGTTTTCTCACACTGATACCAGTGTCCTAAAATAAAAAGCAATTAAATTAATAAACGGAAGTATCATTTTTAAAATGAATTTTAAAAAAGGCTCCTACAATGTTTATAAGAGAAATGTATGCATTTGGTGTAGTAGCATTTTTCTCACCAACAGGTGGCAGAATAAGACTGTAATGAAGAGTGAACTTCTCATGAACCCACTTGAACATTTCCATGACAACAGGGACAACAATCTCAACTGTTCACTTCTCAGATGCTAAGCACAGAGAGTAACTAGAAAGACTTTGAGTTCACCTGAATTTTAGTACTAACAGCATGTTGTCACATGTGCTTTCTAATCCTAAAATCTTAAACTGCTGCTGGAAAACAGATTTAAATAACTCACGCAATAGAAAACCCGAAACTGCCCTATTAACCATTTTTTTAGGATTCTCCAAATACATTTCTGATGTACACTTGGTGTACGCCCCTCCAAAACAAAACAAACCCCAACCAAACACAAAACAAGCCAACAACCGCATTACTAGCCCAGAAGAAGTGTGCAGCAGCAAGAGAAAAACAATATTTACATGTATGCAGCTCATCAACAGAAATATGAGTATTACTAGTATTGATCTGTGTAAACGATCCTGCAGGTGCTAGGGACAGCTTAACAATGAAAGCACAAGTGAAGGGCCAAGCAAAAACACAGCAACTAAAAGCCCACAGTACAATGATGAATATGCCAAAACAGTGTAAAAGCTAAAATAATTATAGTAATAATAATTCTAATGCTATATTTCCTCATTATCTATGGAAAAACATCAGGTATGTCCATATCAATCAATTGGTACAGAATTGAAAAATGTTAGCTATTCTGACAAATGAACTAAGTCCTAAACCCATCATCCTAATGTCACACACAAGGTGTGGTGGACATCATCACACAATGGACCTAGCATGTGAAGTCACAGCTGTGTTTTTTGCTTTTTCACCTTTAGCACCTATATGCAAACCACAGCATAACTGGGAATAAGTGACTAACTGGACAACTTACCAGTATCCTCTCTATGAGCATGTCGTAATATTGCTCAGTGAGTTGGGGTCTGCTGAGCACAAACTTGCCCAGCAGCTCTACAGCTGCCTCTCTCACACTGGTGGAGTTGTCCATTAAACGACCATGGACACCACGCTGCATGTCGGACTGCAGACAAAGAGAGCAATCAGTCTACAAGAATTACAAGATACCTTCTGAACAGAACGCTGCAGAATAAGAAGTAATGAAGAATGAAGTAAATTTTGAAAGGGCAAAGCCATACAAAGAATATAAGTTAAGACAGCATCATGTGCAGTAAAAAAAAAATGTTAACAATTAATGCACTTGCTACTATAAACAGAGATAGAGACATACCCTTGCCAGTATGCTGGGATCAACAGCCACGACCTCAGACAGACATTTCATGGCTTTAGTCCTTACAGCGATGGCACTTTCTCCAAGGACTCGTAAAATCTGGTAAAGAACAAAGAATGTTTGTGTTTCTCTCTGGGGAGGGGGAGTTAAAATGCTTTTGCTAAAAAGAAAATCACACTCTTACCTGTGTTAAATAAATATCAAAGCTCTGGGCGAACGGCCTCATAGAGGCCAAATAACGCACAATCAAACAGGCATCTTCATAGTCCACAGTGTCAGAGTTCATTCTGTTGAGAAGCAGGTTACAGATTTGCACAGTCACACAACTGCACTTGTGCAAATAAAAAAAAAGTACACTGCTGCTATATCGCACATTCTTACTTCAGTGTGGTGAAATGAGCTGGCGTGGTCTTAATGATGTTGCGCAGGAACTTCTTGCGCTTCTCAGCACGCTGCATAATTTCTCCGGTAGCTTCCACCTCCTTGGCATGTTGCGGGCCGTCTGAAGAGTCTTCGTCCTTTGGATTCTGGTTACGCATGGACTTTTCAGCCTCGGTGGTGGCATCGCGGAACCACTGAGCAATGTAAAACTTTCTAGCAAACTAGAATGCAAAACAGGTCTCAGTATTACATTCATAGCATTCAAAGAAAATAATTACTTGCAGTAAGGAACATTTTTATTTGCACACAGAGATAACATGAGCAAATACCGTTTTAAACCATTTAAGATATGTCTTCTTATTTAAGAGAAGAAAGATTTATTAATATGGTAGTTTCCAACAGATTCCTCAAAAGCCAGTTCAAATGCAATGTGAAACTTATATCTAAACCTTAAAGAGTTCACCACATTCAACCTAATGAAAATACCCACCACCAGTGAGGCATCTGTCTCAGCGTTCTCCTCCAAATAGTCCAGCAGAGCCTTCTGTAGCTGTTGGGTCTCATCGCTGCCTTGAGACTTTAAACGGGGAAGAATAAGTGGGAAAATATGTTTATTGTGCCAAATGGTAGGAATGTAAATCATCAAGCAAGAACACATTTTCTGCTTTTTACTCATTTCTTTACCCATAAAAAACAAGTAAACAGTATCCTAAATCATTAAATCCAAAGCTGTCCTTTTACCTCTTGTACGATACGATCAATTGATCTCTGGTCCATCTTGCTTGTCACTGCATCCTTCCTCAGACGTGCAGCCACTGTGCCCAGATAGTCTAGAGATGCTACTCTCAGAGCCATTTCTGTCTGCTTATTACTGAACTGGTGTACCTAATAGGAGAAAAAGGCACAGGAATGGATGAACACAAGAACACTCTCTTTTAAAAGCCAAACTAAAAAAAAAAAAACTGCTGTCATAAAGTTGATTTTCATAAACCACAGAGGTCAAGTTTGATCAACTGTGACACAAATGTTTTGAAAATGTTGTATAAAATAGGAGCATTTGCTTTCCTGGAGCCTCCATGACTTTTAACAAAGTCATCTCTTGCTATTAATCTGGATCATCTGTTCTCGGAAACACTGAGAAAAATACTTGCATTTCCAGTTTAAAGAAAGATCTTAGTCATGCTAACCAGCAGTCTCCCAAGCAAACTGAGCAGCAGCTCTGCAGCAGGCCATTCTGGTTTGTTCACTGTTGAAAGTAGGTCCTGGACAAAGTTCTCAAATAATGGACGGTAATCTTCTTCTCCCTGCTTGCTGCCACACCTGAGGGAGGCAAAAAAAAGGAAGAAAGGGGATAAATAACAGGAAAATAACTGGACCAATCTGAGAGCATAATGAAAAATGATTAATGGTAACAATTATAATCAAGGTCAGACAGCCAACGATCAGAATTAAGACAGAAGTTTTAATACGGCTGAACAAGCTGGCAGAATACATCTGGAAAATCCTATAGAGTTACAGCTACTTCAAAACGTTCCTAGTTTGTCACAATGTTGACTGATGACAAAAGGGATTCAACAGTGTCATCAAAAAGTATAAATAGGAAGAAAACAATCTGAAATTACTTTTTAAGGAAGACTGAGAGGAAGTTTTGCGCAGTTCTCATTGCCGTCTCATAAGAGTTTGTTATCAACACGTCCTGATCCACCTGAAAACAAAAAAGAGCTCTTGAGCAAATGGTGTGTCTGACTGCATGTTGTATTGAATAAAACTATATTTGCTGATGTTTGTATGGGTTTTCATGTCAGCTTGTGCACCTACCTTGGTGTCATACTCTTCAAAAACATCTTTGTCACTGGGTAGGTGGACCACACACTGGATCAGCTGCAGAACCAGTGCTGTTACCATTTGGATGTACATCGGTTCTCCATCCTGGTCTGAACTGTTCAGCCTAAAACACAGAAGGTCAGGATAAATCATAAGTTACTAGCATTGCACAATCCAGTAAAAAACAAACAAACAAAAAAAAAAAACGTCTGCACAATTTTTATTTCTACATTGATGGTCAGACAATTCTCAAAGCTCTCAATTCATGCATTAACCTGCCAACTCTGAATAGCCTCAAATTTATGTGAATTAGTGTGAAAATGGGTTACCTGAAATTCCTGAGGGAGCGTTTGCTGGTGGGCAGTCTGGCCAAAGAGGTAAAGATCTCCTCAAGGATCAGCTGCCGATGCTTCTCATAACGTGAGAACACCTGTATACAGCAGAATATGAAAAAAAAAAATGTAAAAAGATAAAAATTGCAAAATAACATTCTGGACCAAATGCCATAAAAGGATGCTTTTAAATAAACACTGAATTTTTGTGCAGACGTACCGCTGTAACTAGTTTAATGGCACACAGCTGAAGCTCACTGACATTCTCTACAAAGAATGGAGTGATTCCCATAGAAGAAACCTGGAAGAACGGGAAATGCACAATATAAGAAATCATGCAAAATGCAATGCATGTCTGCATGTCTGACTTAAACTAATGTACTAAGTGCAACACTCTTAGCGTTTACCTGGAGGATGGTGGTGTCTGTAAGCAACTGTATCTCTAGGAGCTCAGAGATGTTGCTGACAATGTCACACACTTTGTTGTATAACATGACTATGACACGCTGCTTGTGCGTGGAGCATTTTGCACGCTTTGCCTTCGAGCTCAACATGCCACCTATAAAAACAACAGAAGTCTGTTAATTTTTTAAAAGATAATGAACATAATAAGAAAATTAAAAATCTTAAATTAAGAAATACTATAATTTTGCAAGCTAAAAAAAACTGTTCCTGATTTCATAAAGCAATCATCTATTTCAGTTTGTCAAACTGGCACTGGCTTATTTATCATTTGGTCTACTACTAATGTTAAGTTTATGAAGAGTTTCTAAAGTTAATAAAGAAAAATGAATGCAGAATTCTTCCTGTACCTCCATGCGGGTCCACCCTGTAGACTGGATCATACTGTGGATACAGTGTGTTCTGAAGATGAAACTTGGTGTACTGCAGCACCCGCTCTATGACATCTTCTATGTAGACAGCCTTCGGCATGTGTGCTGAGGTCATAATGTTCAGAGCTGTCAGACAGGCATCTGCAGACTTTGTGACTCTCTCCATTATCAGATCTCTCCAAAGTCTTTCCTCGTCTTCAGCGTCATGATCCTGTGGTTAAAAAGTAAAGAATGTGAACACTTTCTACATCAATAAACCAGTGTCAGAATGAGGAAGGCTATTATGTATTTCAGGAAGAAATCTGGAGTATTTTTTATGATTGTCAGCTATGTCAGCATTATTATGTTTTGTTCATGGTCTCTGTATATAGATTTCCGTAGTGCATCACTGCAGGGAGAAATATACTCCAGATATTAGGTAATGCTGAAAGAATAAGAAAAATAGGAAAAGGGAGGAAGGGCACTCACATGGTTCATCAGGGTGGACAGCTTGGACCCATCCTGGATATTCTTTTCAAGGATATTCAGAAGCTTCACCAACTTGTCTGATGGGATCTGTAAGAACAGACACTGGTTTTTAGATCTACATCTGAAGAACCATTACAAACCCACAACATCCCAAATGATGTTTTTTTATGAATAAATAGAATATAGTACCCTGCTGGAGATGCCCATGGCCTTAATTTTGGCAGATTCGCTACCCAGCTCATTCAGCTGGTGTTTACCAAGCAGCAATTCCTGAGGTATCTCATCATCGTCTCCTGCTAGAAAACATAAACCAATAAATTAGGACTAAACTCTAATAAAATATAAGAAAACCAACATACCCTCAGTACTGATACTTACCCATAGTAGTAAAATCCACATCCTCCAGATTTTCCAGTATGTTGTCAATGCTTGCCAAGAACCTCTTGAATGTAGAAGAGTCCATCAGTTCTTCTTGGGTCAGCTTGGGTTCATAAGCTTTCCGTTTCTTCTGCTTCTCCTTCATCTTCATTTTTCTGGCAACTAAGTGTGAGAAAAAAAAAA